AAAGGACCACCTTATAAAACCTAAAGAGACATGTTAAATAACTTCCTTCTCTGTCTCAATCCAGTCTTTATTTAAGTGATCTTAACTATAACCTATAAATCTTGGGCAGTACATGGACACAGTAAGAAGCAGTGAGTGAAATATCAGGGCAGGGATACAGGAATGAAGATGGACATAGAGTTGGAAAAGAGAAAAACAACGAGAGAAACAGCACACACACCGAGCAAGGAACCAACAGGCAGAGAAGTCAGCCGGAGGCTGTGAGGAGGAACGGGCTCCTTCCTCTGAGGCTGGGCTATATTTTTAATAACCACCCACACAGAACAGAAGGAAAACAACGTTTTCATCTTATCTTCCACTGGTCTTCTAGTAAGGCAAATGCTTGTCTTTATGTACAGCTGTGGAAGAAGAGCTATATAGATCACTGAAGTTTAGATTTTCAACAAGTTTCAATTTCATATTGTATGGACACGTAAAATTTTTGACAGAAGCACACCAGCTGTACATTTAAATGCCAATCTTAAAAATTCCTCTCCTTATATGTTTATGTAGTTGAGTCTCTTTAAATAAAAATTCATGCCAGTGCATGAATTTTAGAGATATTTTTCAAAACTTTAATACCAAAGCACTTTTTGTGAGATACAGTGTTTTTTTATTTCCCTTCTTATTCAATAAAAGATTGGGCATTTCTGTACATTTAATTATTCCTTTTACACACACTTATAATCTTAGCAAGTCAGATAGTAGTGGAGTCCCTTCAATAAACTATTATGAATAATCCAGTACCTACCACAGCCAAAGGTCCTTAATGAGAATAACTGTCACATATTCATTCCAGTACAGCACAGCTCATTTTACATCACCAGCCCCTTATGAAGTTAAAAATAAAACTGTAGTTAAAATGTCAAGTGCCTCAACCTAACTGGATTTTAAAACAAACAAGAGGAACACTGATTTTTCCAATCTATCTAAAAGGAGAAGAGTCAGAAAATAAAGCCACAGTATTCCATTCATACAACTTCAGTTTTCTTACTGAGTCATGGAATTTCTTTCTTTGTTCTTTGTTTTCATCATCATCATCATCTTCTCTCTCATTTTTAATATAGGAAGACTTCAAAACAAATAAAAAGATAAAAATTGCTTACTGTGCGAATGGACAAGAATAACTGGATTTTTTAAAGCAGAGACGTTTTATAAAATCAGACAAAATAAGGAAAAGAACAATGGAAACAAAAGTGTCACACAATGGGAAAGAATAATGGAATAATGGTCGATATCCCCCAGACTCCTGTGCTGTGGAGACTAGCTGCTGTATTAAATACAAATTTTACTCATTTGAAATAATTAATGCTTTACAATTGGCCAAGCAGCATTCTAACTAGGAAAATATTACAAAATGTTCTTCCCCCTCTCCCAGCAGAAATGTACTAAGAAAATTAAGCCGGATGAAGAACTGCCAAGAATCTCGTTTTTTAACTTAAGTCTCCTTCTGAATGCAAAGTGTTAGCTTGTGCGCATGGTCAGAAGTGATGGAGGACAGGAAATGGCCTCGATCAACAGCACCTATTGTGCCTTAGTGCAGAGACCCTGACGCATCTGGGAGTTTCTTAACTCTTTCAGTCTCATAGGAGAGTATGAAAATACTGGCACCTTACTTCACAAATTCATGAAGCAGGATGACAGCAGCCTTGGGTAGGAGAAGCAGCATTTGGAGGGAGAGCTGGGCAGACAAAGAAGAGGGCTCAGAAGAACTATCCAGAAAGCCCCAAGGTAAGTGATCTGAAGGTAGGACTGAAGTGAGACTCATCAGAAGTTCTTAAGACAATGCTCCCTCAAAAACACGCTTTTCTCCCTGCAGAAACAAGATTTAAAGAACAACTCAGAAGGAAAATATTCTCTCTAAAGAATGTCTCGATTTAGAGAGAAGTTACTTCACAAGACAGTGAATAAAACCTTTATGATGCTGTAGCTGCTATTTTCTTTGGGC